TCTTATTATAATGAGGTCCAGCTTCTTTTCATCCATTTAAGTGTCATTTACATTTCTTCTTCTGTGAACTGTCTGTTGATATCTTTCTGTACTAAAGTTGGAGAGCCGCTGCCCTGGTGAATACAAGAACAGCATGGAACACAGACAGGCCTTATCTGTGAAGGAACGTAGAGGGGCTTACTCAATGCCATGCTTGAAATGATGATAGAGAAACAAACAGCACAAGTTCAAGTTTTAAAGTCCTTGATATGGATTAAATGTTTTGGAAGTTCAGAGAACAGAAGTAACTCTGAAACAATTAGGGAAGTCTTCACAGAGGAGGAGTTTGAGCTAGGATGTAAAAGATATCTGGGATGGCATCAGCAGAGGAGAGGAAGGCAGGGGAACATGCCAAAGGTAGGTTGAGAGCAAAGAATATACGCACGAGAGAGGCAGCAATATGCTTAGCTATCAGGATTGTGGGCTCTTGAGTCAGACTGTCTGGGTTGTAATCCGAGCCTCATCATTTAGTAGTGGTTTCAGATCCTTCTGTAAAATGGGGGTAATAATAAAAATCTCTACCTCAAAAGGTTGTCGTGAGGATTAAATGATATAATCCTTAGCACAATAAATGTCCAATAAATGTTAACTCTTATTACAAAGCACAAAGGACCACCTGACTGAAGTCAAATGTTCTGTTTGGAATTGTGGGAGGGTTAGTTGAAAAATATACATAAGATCAGGTAATACAGGGCATCAACCTTATGCTTAGGGGTTTGGATTTAATCTAAAAGGCAAGAGAGAGACATTGAAAGGAACTCTTAAAGAAAGAGAAGACAAAGTGAACACTACTTTCTTCTGTGTATAACCGGAATGTTGATTAGGGAGGACTCTTGACATTTTATTTTGAAACTTTATTCTGAACTTCCAATGCGTCTTAAAAATGGGGCAAGGTCTTCCTTTCTCATCCTTAGAATCTCTTTAAGTCATAATCGCAGTTTTAATTCAATAATCAATAGTGTGCAGGACCATGTCATGATCAAAATTTCAAAGATGAACCTCCTCCCATTTCCCACCTGGGTCCCTCGGCAGGAAGGAGTGGCGGAGCATAGTTTCTCCTTTGCTCACCTACTGCTTCACCTCTCCCTAGCTAAGCGTGATTTCTGGTGCCTCTATGGTTGCCAGGGGACAGGGATCACAGCTAAAGGAAGCAGGAACGCTCTTTCTCGACTGGTACTCTCTTAACAGGGCTTCACTGTTAGAGGACCTGTTTGAAAGCTGATTCTCTCTTGGGCTTTTTTGTGGGTTCTTGAGAGTCTTCACTGGGAAGGTCCAACAGCATTTCCTCTGACACAGGTGATGCATTTCCTCTAGATGACACCCTCCTCAGCCCCAGGTTCCCAGCACCCCTCTCTACACAGACCTCTAGGTGGCCCCGTAGGGCAGAACTCAAAATGGCTCCAAGTCAGTCCACATCCCCACATGATCCACAGGAGTTCCAAGAGAAATATCCTCATGTTCATTGCCCCCACACTTTCTGCATGGGCAGGCTCCCCAGTGCAGCCTCTGCTTCTCCACCTTGGCCATCAGAACAACTAGTCAGTCCACCTTTTTTTTTTTTTGAGGAAGATTGGCCCTGAGCTAACATCTGCTGCCAATCCTCCTCCTTTTGCTGAAGAAGACCAGCCCTGAGCTAACATCCATGCCCATCTTCATCCATTTTATATGTGGGACGCCTACCACAGCATGGCTTGCCAAGTGGTGCCATGTCTGCACCCAGGATCCAAACCGGCGAAACCCGGGCCGCTGAAGCAAAACATGTGAACTTACTCACTGCACCACTGGGCCGGCCCCTAGTCAGCCCATCTTTATCTTTTAGATTTTCCAGACAGGAGTCAGACACCAGTCTCCCATGTCCCCCTAACTCTGGTGTCACACATCAAGCTCACCAAATGACCTCCCGAAGCCCTTTTCTCTTGCCCTGAGGTGAAAGGGGAAGCAGCCCTCCCCCTCCCCTTGGGAGGAAGGGGATTCACAGCCACACATTGTCCTTTGCATAAATCTCTCAATCTCCATTCTCAACTCTTATGAGCAGAGTTTAAGGATCTTCTTGGCGGCTAACTTTGGAATTTTTGCATGGTATGTTTTTAAGATATAGCACCTGTTGTCTTCTTGCCTTAGCAAATTGAAATAGAAGAATCTAATTTTAGCAGCTGTTACTTATATTTCCCCAGGACAGTGCCTAGCCCTTGGTGATTAATAACTGGTGCATTAGGAAGATGGATCTAGCTGAAGTTTTCATGATAGACTGGTATAAGGTAGAAGGAAGAGTAATTTGAATCTGCAGTAATCCAGAAATAAGAAAAATATTTGAGTAAATTAGGGACTTTTAGCTCAGAGAAAAGAAAACTTAGAAGGGCGTAGTAATTCTCCTCAACACAGGTAAAGAAAAGGACTGCGATGTAGGGAAGACGAAGGCCAATTCCTTTTGTTGAAGGAGAAGAATTAGGATGAATGAGTAAATTTGCAGGGAAACAGATTCAGACCCAATATGAGAGTTTTCTAATATCAGCAGCGTGATAGCCTATTCCTGCCGTGAGTGTCCCATTATTAGGGTGTGCAACAGACATTTGATTCTCTCCACCCACCAACCATCCCACGCCAGACTTCCTCACCTCAGGAAACGACATTGCTGTCCACCCATTGCTTGAGCCCAAACCTAGGAGTCATCCTTGATGCTTCCCTTTCCTTTATCCCCATGTCCAATCCTCCTGCAAATCCTAACATTTCTACCTCCAAAATATTTTTAACATATATTTGTCCACTTGTTTCCACCTACGCTGCCCTCACCCAGTCCAGGCCACCATCATCTGTCAGCTGGACTCCTGCAACTGCCTCCTAATTGCTCTCCCTCTCATGAGCCTCACAATCCATTCTCCATACAGTAAGTAGCCAAAGTGATCTTATAAAAAAGCAAAGCAAAGCACATCACTGCTGTGCTTAAAACCCCCCTATGGCTTCACCTTGAACTTAGAATAAAGCTCCAGCTCCTCAGCCTACCCTTAAAAGCCCCGTGGCTTTTAAGCCCTGGCATGGCTGCCTCTCAAAACTCATCTTCTATGGTTCTCCTCTTAGCTCACTGCACTCAAGCTATACCAACCTTTTCTGTTTTCCCAAACAAGCCAGGTTCATTCCCAAGGGCCTTCACACCAGATCCCCGGCCTGGGTACCCTGAAGCTTGGAATGATTGTCTCCTCTGTTCCTCTGCATTGGAACTGAAATGTCACTTTCTCAGAAAGGACTTCCCCAACCACTCAACTTAGAGAAGAATTCCATCCTACCTTTTCTGCCGCCACTTTCTACTACATTACAATGCGTCTTCTTTTCTCTCTACCAGTTATTACTATCTGAAATAATTTCGTATGTTCACTTATTTAGTCTCTCTGCCTGACTATAATACATACTTTATGAGAGTAGGGACCTTGTCTTCTTTATCCAGGACTATATTCCCAGTACACATAATAGGTACTCGATAAATATTTGAATGAACGAATGATTGAATCATATTGGCCGGGAAGATTAGAAAGGACTCCAGTCATAGGAGGAAGCAGATGCTAGACCCCTGCAGTCACGTCACAGTCTGTGTCTCACATGGATGAGTCGATAGGAATGAAGAAGGAATACATCTGCAGCTCTCCTGTTCCTCTCAAAAGATGTCCCAAACCTTCTCTTCTGTCCTCAGAACCCATCCCCCAGCTACCCCTCACTCTCAGCACATGACTTTGCTTCTCACTTCACAAAGGAAAGGAAGGCCTTAGACTCTTCCCCTCCACCCACTTCCTCCTGCTTCCACACGCTCCCAGCTTCACCCACGGTCTCAATGGACAGGGGCTCTCCCTTCCACCTGGGCTCAAGTCACTCCTGCCACTGCCCTTTTCATGTCACTGGCATTCATGCCTTGTCATTCAAGGCCATCTGACCCCTTCAACAACAAGATGGAATATGAATGAGTTAATAGATTAATGAACTAAAAATAAGATAAATCTCACCATCTTCAGAAAACAGCCTTTAAAAATATAAATCAGACAGTATAATTTTCCTGCCTAAAACACTCTCACAGCTTCCATCTAGACTGGAAGCTAGACTCCTGTCATGACCTATAAAGCCCACACGCTCCGGCCCCTGGCTACATCTCCAGCCTCATGCCCCCACCCTCCTACTTGCTAGCAATGCCCTGGCCACACCAGCCTTTCTGCTGTTCCTCCAACCTGTCAAGCCTGTTTCAGCCTGAGGGCCTTAGCACTTAAAGTTTCCTCTGGTTGCTGTGCCCACACCCACATCTTCCCTCCTTTCAGGCCTCTGCTCAAATGGCCCTCCTCAGAGAGGCAGGGCCAGCTACATAATTTGCAGGGCTCAGTGCACCGTGAAAATGCAGGGCAGGGCCTCTTGTTTCAAAAGCAGGAAGAAAAGCTTTTTCCTCTCTTCTGTGGTCTTTCTTGACCTGTCATGGTATGTTTTATTTGCCATTTAATGTCATGTTCCTTTGTGCACAGGGATACCTCTGGGTTAACTGCAGACTTTCACAGGTTTCCCCACCCTGTGCCCACCCTGACTCTGGCTGTGCCTGTGCCCAGGCCCCCACTGGGGCAGAGGGTGGCTGTAGTTGCCTAGGACCTGGGGGAGCAGGAAGCCAAGAATCCAACGGACGTGGCAGGAGGTGAGACCACATGGGAATTGAGGCCTCCAGCCCCCAGCACATGCTCCACTGTCCTATCAGACTTCACCTGCAAATCACAAACTCAGAAATAACATTATTAAAAATTTTAAGATGATGGTTGCAGAGGATTAAGCTCCAAGCACAGAGTTCCCTTCTGAGTGTGGTGGCCTATGCAGTTACACTGGTCACACCCATGAAGCTGGCCCTGCAGAAGGGGCTTTCTGGACCACTCTATCCTAATAAGTTCTGTCTGTCCTCATCCCTGTCTTTCTCCATTACCTGAGTCCACTTTGTTTTCTTACAGCACTTATAACCACCCCAAGTTATCATCTACCTCTGCTGTTCATCATCTACCTCTCCTACTACAATGCAAGCTCCATGAGGACAAGGACTTTGTCTGCCAGGTATGAAGTAGATGCTTATTAAATACCCATCAAGTGAATGAATGAAGAGTTCACAGAATCAGTTCACACACTCTTGGCCTAGTTTCTCACGTGTATCAACTCATAAAACCATCATGCTTTTGTGTGTGTGTGTGTGTGCGAGGAAGTTTGGCCCTGAGCTAACATCTGTTGCAAATCTTCCTCTTTTTGCTAGAAAGATTGTCGCTGAGCTAACACCCGTGCCAACCTTCCTCTATTTTATGTGGGCTGCCACCACAGCATGGCTTGACAATAGGTGCTAGGTCCACACCTGGGATCCAAATCTGTGAACCCCAGGCCACTGAAGCGGAGCACATGGACTTAACCAGTACACCACCTGGCTGGCCCCAAAGCTATCATGTGCTTTAAAAATAATATTTACCATGGAATATTTTGCTGCACTTGAGCTAAAGGAGGAGAATTTTTAATTTTTCAGATCTAGAATATGTGGCATCTTTCCCAAGTCCTTATTTTCATCTTCCAAAAGAGAAATTAAAAGCTGAAGTACTTATCCGAGTGAGGAAATAATCACAAGGATGATCCCATTATTTCCTCTTTATCAAGCATCAACAGCACTTCAGCAGACAAACCAAGAAAAATAATTCTCTCTCCTGTTCTTGTCCCATGGGGTCACGCTGTTTCATGGCATTGCCTTGTTCATTTTTGCTCTCTTCCACACTGTAGCGAGGGGTTCAGGGTCAGGCTCAGGAAAGCTCATCCTGCTGGAATCCATCCATGGTCCTATAGCACATTACATCCCCAATATAACACTTAACAATCTATGTGTGGTCAGAACTACTCCTACCTGTTTCTGGCTCCCAGCTCTATTGGGAACTTTTGGAGAAAAAGACTTACTTCCTACCTCCAGTGTTCCCCCCTTCTCACTTTAGCTGACTCCTTTCATTCTCAACTTAAACATCGCTTCCTCAAGGAAGCCTTCCTCACGTGCTCAGACCAGACCCTCATCGTCCTTTCTTATAACCCCTGAGATTTATTGATTGATTCCACAATGTCAATGAACTACTTAATTGTGTGATTATTTGTGTAAGACTGTCTCCCTTCCCAGGCTGTAAGATCCATGAGGGAGGTGCTATAGATTGAATATTTGTGTCCCCTCAAAGTTCATTTGTTGAAATTCTAACCCCCCATGTAATGGTGAAGGAGGCGGGTCCTTTGGGAAGTGATTAGGTCATGAAGGTGGTATCCTCATAAAGGGAATTAGTGTCCTTATAGAAAGACTCTGGGAGCTCCCTTCAGCCATGTGAGGATACAACGAGAAGACGACATCTATGAACCAAGAAGCTGGCTCTCACCAGGCACTGAATCTACTGGTGCCTTGATCTTGGACCTCCAGCCTCCAGAACTATAAGAAATAAATTTATATTGTTTATAAGCCACCCAGTCTATGGTATTTTTGTTATAGCAGCCCAAATGGACTAAGATAGAAGGGATTGTCTTACTCATCACTGTGTCCCCAGCACTTGGCTATTGACTAACAAAGATCAGGCATTCTGTAAATATTTGATGAACGAACATGGATCCACTAATACCTAGTGGTGATATTTGAAGAAGCTTTACAGGTGTTTGTTAAATTACACTGGAAAAACATTTTTTATCTCATCAATTATGACTTGCCTAGAGTGAGTTGTTATTCCTTATTATCGAAATAAAGACAGCTTGGATCATCAGGCCATCTCCCAAAGAATAGTCTTTCATAACTGGAAGACGAGGGTATTAAACCATGTGGAGGTAGTAAATGAGCAACTCCTTGAAACATACAAAGCTCAAGGGTTGACCCAAGTGAGGGCATTTTCTTATTCTTGCCGCCACGGATCCTCCTTTCTCTGCTTCCTGGCAAATAGCTGGTTATGTACTGTATTCAAACCTATTACCTAACGCCAAGCTGTGTATCCCTCAAAATCATTATGTTCCAGGTTTTGGAACCATTTTATACTAAAAGTAATTATAGGCAGACTTCAGAGACAAAAACCTAATTCTTTTATGGTTTCTCCTATCAGAATAAAGACTCTAGAGGTAAGAATTCAAATGAGACTGAAGGTTGCAAATTGTACCGTGAGGGAGGATAAAACATTGTTTGTCAAGGCATTGGAGCTCTTCCTCTCTCACAGGCAGAGTCAATAGTGACAAATGGCGAAGACAGAAAAAAGTGCTTTGCTCCGGTGGCCAGGCCTCCTGCTAAGTCCCAGTAGAAGATTTACCTTTATCTGGTGGTGTTATTTCTGCAGGTCTTTTATGTTTTACTCTATTGATTTCCTATTTAGCAATAATGGAACACGGCACTGATAAATAATGTATGTCAACAACGATATCCAGGACAGAGGTTAATGCTTTTCTAAAGTGTTCGGTAGTTTGTTTGTCTTTGTAAAAATAAGCTGAGTATGCGTGGTCCAGCAGTCATGAAGTCTGAGGGTACTGGCCTCACAGGCCAAGTGCTGAAGAGGCTGTTACTATTGTCTCTGTGTCTCATTTGCTGCCACCCCTCCTTTCCTCATCTTTACCTTTGTCGTGCCTTCCCTAGGGTGACATTAATCACAGTGCACCTTGCCAAGTGGCTTTGTGGAGAAACCACACTCTGTGAAACGTAATTTATGGCCTTAATACTGTTAACGCATGGCGTCCTTTACATTATTACAACTGATTAGGCAGCAGCCATGATGCAAGTTTATACATATATAGTGTGTGTGTGTGCGTGTGTGTGTGTGTGTGAATGAAACAACTTATTCTCATTTGTTTCCATTTTATCAAGGTGAAATGAATCACTCTCCTCATCAAATGCAATTATCTCCTGTTTTTAAAATTTTTTTCTGACACAGAACCAAATGTCCTTCCCTCTAAAAGGCTCGTTGAACATTTTTCCTCTGACTCAATATCCATATAATGGAGCCACAGCTGAAAGGTTCAAGGACCTTGGAGGTGGTGGTTGGTGATGAAAAAGATTGAATCTGAGTTCAGATCAGCCTGTTACAAGAAGGGAGCGACTTCAGTAAACATCGTTAGTCTTGTTTTGCTTGCTCCTTGAAGGTGACAGCAGAGTCCATTGATAATAGGAATGGAATACAATTTCAGTTGGAAAGGGATCTAAAATGAAAAGCATTGATGTGAAAACAGGTGATGCTAAGTCCTATTTGGGACTTGAGTCTAGGTTTAAAGAACTCTCCTCCTGCTGTAACAGACTCAGGTGCAGCGTGTCCTTGAAGACTCGGCCCGGACACCATTTCACTGTGCAGAGAACAGTCAGTTCTTATTAACACTCACCATCTAGAAATGTACTTATTTGTTTTTACAATCTCTCTGCTCCTGCTAACTTTTGAGCTCTGGGGAGGTGCCGCCTCTATCTGGCCATATCTTTAAAGCCTAGCACAGTGCCTGGTACACAAGCTGCCTAGATAGAAGCCACATGCTTTACTGATGAGCAGATAAGTACCTCTGAATGGTTTCCATGGAGATTTGGCCTTCTTTTTATTTTTCCCTCATTAAAAAAGTTTTATTATGGAGAATTTTGAAAATACACAAAAATAGGTAGACAATTATGACATATACCAATTTACACATCCACCTATGGCTAAACCTAACCAATTGCCACATCATCCTCTTCCTCCTCACATTGTTTTGAAGCACATACAGACATCATACAACTTCAGCTCTACATATTTCGGTTTGAATCTCTAAAAGATAAGGAGTTATTTTTAAAACATAACCACAATACTATCATTGTATCTAAAAAACCCTATAATTCCTAATGGCATCAACTATCCAGCCCATGTTCACATTTACGGTATCTCACAAATGTCACATGTTTTTATACTTTGTTCTAATCAGGATCCAAATAGGAAGCACACATTTCAATTGGTTGATATGTATCTTAAATCTCATTTAATTTCTAGGTTCTGGTTGATTTATTTTTTAACTCTTTTTTTTTAGATAATTGTAGATTCACATGCACTTGTAAAAAGTAGTGCAGAGAGATCACTATACTCTTGGTTTCTCTCAGTGATGATGTCTTGCACAACTATGGTACAATATCACAACCAGGAAACTGATGTTGATACCGTCTACCAAACTTAGTCATATTTCACCACTTTTATATACACCATTTGTGTGTGTTTGAGTGTGTGTGTGTATATATTTGGCTCTATGCATTTTTATCACGTGTAGATTTGTGTGACCACCACCACAGTCAGAATACAGAACGGTTCCATCACCAAGATTGCTTGTGCTACACTTTCATAGGCACAACCACCTCCACTCCCTAACCCATGGCACCATTCATCTGTTCCCCATCTCTATAATTTTGTCATTTCAAGAATGCCATATAAATGGAATCACACAGTAGGTAAACTTTTGAGATTAGCTTTTTTTCCACTCAGCATAATTCCCCTGAGATACATCCAAGTTGTTGTGTGTATATCCATAGTTCATTCCTTTTTACTGCTGAGCAGTATTCCAAGGAATGGATGTGCCACAGTTTGTTTAACCGTTCACACACTGAAGGACATCTGGGTTGTTTCCAGTTTTTGTCAATTACAAAGAAACCTCCTGTGAACACTTGTGTATAGGTTTTTGTGTGAAGTTACTATTTCTCTAGGATAATTGCCCAAGAGTGCAGTTGCTGGGTTGTTTGATAAGCACATGTTTTGTAAGAAACTACCACATGCTTTTCCATATGGCTGTACCATTTTACATTTCCACCAGTAATGTATGAGTGATCCGCTTTCTCTGCATCCTCATCAGCATTTGGTGTTACCACTATTTTTTAAGTCATTTTGATAATTGTGTAGTGATAGCTCACTGTTCTTTTAAAATTTTTAATCTAAGTATAAAAGCTTATAATGAAAAATGTAGAAAACAAGAAAGTTATAACATTATGGAAAGGAAAATAAAAATCACCCATAATCTCTCCATCCAGATATAACTGCAGTTAACATATTGGTATATATTCTTCTGGGTTTTTTTTTCATACATGTCTATCTGTCTAGCTATTTAAATTTTACAAAACTGGAAACATATGACAGGTACAATTTGGCATCTCACTCTTTTTCGTAATGTTATATGAGACACATTTTCCTATGTATGCTGTGAAATATTCTTTGAAAACGTGTCTGTAATGGCTGTATGATATTCCATTGTATGGAGCTTTTAAAAATAATTCTTTTATTTTTGGACATTTATGTTATTTTCAAACTTTTGGTATTATAGATATTTCTTTGAATGTCATTCTTATACATGGATTTTTACTACATATCTAATTTTTTTAAATAAATAGATGCCTAGAACTGGGATTATGAGGATAAAGTATATGAAACGCTTTTAAGACTTTTGGTACCTATGTACACACATCCAAAATGCTTTCCAGAAAGATTGTATTTCATACCCACCAGACTGCCTCTCTCACCAGACCCTCAACAACACTGAATGTTATGTTTTTATCTTTGACAAGCTGATAGAGGAAAAAAATGATCTCATTGTTTAAATTTGCCTCCCTTTGATGCTAATGAAGGGATTTTGTATCCATTTGTAACGAAGTTGAAATATGTTCATAAGTTTTATTTTCTATTTGTATTGCTTCGATAATTAATTGTAATGTTTTCCCTTTGCCTGTTTTTCTTTTCTTTTTTTTTTAAATTTCTTTTTTATTGTTTTCCTTTTTCTTTCCAAAGCCCCCTGGTACATAGTTGTATATTCTTAGTTGTGGGTCCTTCTAGTTGTGGCATGTGGGATGCTGCGTCAGTGTGGTTTGATGAGCAGTGCCATGTCCACGCCCAGGATTCGAACTGATGAAACACTGGGCCATCTGCAGCAGCGCGCGTGGACTTAACTACTCGGCCATGGGGCCAGCCCTACTTTTGCCTGTTTTCTGATGTTATGTTTATATTTTTCTTATTAATTTGAAAAATATCTTTGTATGTTATGGATAGTAATAATTTTTTCTTTTATTTGTTGAAAATATTTTTCCCTGTTAAGTCAGTCCTCTTTTATTTTTGGCTGTGGGATTTTTTAATTCATTTCTTCATTCTGTAAACATTCATGGGATATGTTTCATATGCCAAAAAGTGTGCTAGTAATGGAATTTCTTTTAGAAATTGAATATCAGCTTCAATGTCCTCAAGGAATTTAGAGTTTAGTGAGAAAGATACAGATGTAAATAAATATTTGTACTATGCCAATTTGATAAGGATATAGTTGAGGAAAATACATAGAACTCTCACTTCTTAGAGGAGACGATATTTGAGTTGGACCTGAAAGGATGAGGAGGAACGGGCTGGGTGCAGAGGTGGGAGAGGGGGTCCCAGGCAGAATGAGTGTGTGCATAAAGGTGCACAGTCATGAAGGTACACAGTGTTTGGAGAATGGCATGTTGGGACAGTGTTGCTAGAGCACAGATGGGAAGTGAAATGATGAAAGCTCATTGTGTTTTTGAAAATACAGAAACTAAAGAAATTGGGGCAACATAATAGCTTATTCTACATTAAGGATATAGTCAGAGTCTGTGTTTTTCATGTGTAGTGTAACAACTACTAGGGAGACTGAGAACAATCTCACTCTTGCTCTCACCCTCACACCCCACCTTGGCCAAGGAGGATCAAGGCTGAGGAACCCCCAAGAGATCATGCTAAAATCACAGCAACAGGCTCTGCTGCATGACCTTCTGTTTCTCTTACATTGTTAAGAATTTGGGACAGACTGGAAGATGGATCATGGGAAGGTGAAATGGAATTTGGCTATGGGTTTCTTCTCTGCTCTTGACCATGCACCTCATTTAACTCAGGCTGAAGATCCCAAGACTTTGTCGATATTCATAGATGTGATGAATGGCGGGCGTGCTCTTTCTCTGGTGACAGCCAAGGACTTAAGGAGCTGAGCTGTCTCAATCCTCACTCCAGGTTAAGCATTCTGGGGTCAGGTAGAACATCAGAGGTGTGTGGCATTGTATAACCTTCATTGCTTCCTTGTTCTCTCCTTCCCACTTATACCCCGTATGTAACTCAAACAGATAGCCTGGTACCAAGGATGTCAGCATGCCCTCTTCCCTCTAAAATTAATTCCTTTATAAATCAAGCTACAGCATGTTCACAAATGGCAAAATTGGTGTATGGCCAAACACTGAGGGTATATTCAAATTATAACATGTATACAGTATCTATCTTGTCATTTCATCTTTCTCCTCTGCACTCAAAGATGCCAGTGCTGACAGCATTCATATTAATGAAGAGAGCCAGGAGAGGAGAGGGGAGACTGGCTATTCCATGCTACTCCATTCCGGCTATTTCACTTAAGTAACTCTCAACAATCCAGGTGTTACAGTCCACAATCTGTCCCTGACACACTTGTCCCATCCATCATTTTACAACCCCTAGGACTCACCCAATCCATTGTTCCTGATTTGAAGTTTAATTTTTTAAGGTGTTCTTTTTATGCTTTTTAGGCACCCAGGTAGCTGTAACTGTAAATCCTGGTGACTTTTTCCTACAGCTGTTATCACACATTGATAGATTGGCTCATGAATGAGTAGGGCTGAGTGATCTTTACCTTCCCGGTGAGTGATTCTGACCTATTTTATACTTACATCTCTTGGGAACCTGGAGCTCAGTGTCCCCAACAGTGAAATAGAGGGTATGGGAGCAACGTCACCATCTCTAAACTCCCCTCAGCTCTGACTATTCTAGGTAACTGTGAATCTCAGTGAGGACTTTTGGTTGGAATTTGTTGGGAACACAATGCTACCTCACAAAAGCCCTGCAGGAATGCCTACTTGAGCTCCTTCACTTCAGACGAGAGGGCCTTGGTCATTCTGATAATAGATACAGTCTAAAAAGCACGTACCTGGCAGTCCCAGGCCTTTCGCCTTTGTAGCGAGTTATGTTTTCAGAGAGCTTTCATTCTCAGGAATTTAATACCAGGATGTCAGTTGCAAGACAGTGGACTAGAAAGACAGCTGCACTGAGATCTGGGATTTAAAAAATAATCTAGGATCTTTTTTTTCACTTGGGTTTCCCCCTGAAACGACCTTGGCTGAACAGAGTCTCCTTGCCTGGAATGCTGTTTCACGGCGGAAATGTGCACTTACGATTGTCCCTTGAAAACGAGGAAAGTAAATAGAACAACCCCAACAGCTCAGAATTGACAACGATCATCCAACACTTTGGTATTTCAGAAGCTTCTGAGAAAGACAATCTGGACTGAAGGAAGAAGAGAAATAGGATGAAAATCACTGTCAGATTACAGAGAGGAGTCATTTACCAAGTACTTCATACCAATTATTTCAATTTCTCCTCACAGCATCCTAGGAGGAAGGAGTGATCTTCATTTCACAGAGGAAGAAACCAAGGTTCCAAGAAGTAAAGTAACTTGCTCATCACACAGCTAGAAAGAGTTGAGGTAAACCTGGAAATAGGCCTAGCTAACCCCACAGCCTCTGTCTCCTCCTCTCCGTTATCTGCTTAACAATACCACTCACAAAACTCTGAGCCCAGGAGAGCTGTTTTACACGTGCACGGCTGGCCAGCCCAACTCCGCTCTCTAGGCTCACTTTGAGTTCCCGCCAGATTATCCCGAGGGTGGGTGGGCGTGGTTGGTGGAGGACTCACCATGAATACTTGTTTCCATTTTTATTTTTCTTTAGATTTCCTGATTTTCTCATCCTGATGGAGACAAACTATTTCCTCTCTGTTCCTCTCAACAAAATCCTGAAAAGCCAAAGAAGAGGGGCCCATCAATTTTTTTCACCCAACTGCAGTGTCTGAGTAAAGTCAGGGAAAGTTACCCATCAAAGCTAAACCACCTTCATTTGCCCCAAGCTATTTGGGGACAATATGATTTGTTAAATCTTAACTTCAACCTACATTTCTTAAAAGAGGACTTAACTATAGATATTATAATCTTCTTTTCATCTTCAAAGCACTTGACGTATTAACAAGTTAAATTTCAGCAACACCCTTGATTAACTCCTTTTTATAGATGTGGGAAAAGAGGCGTGGAAATAATAAAAAACACCCTTGGCTGTGACGGAATCAGCATTCCAAGGTAGGATTAGAATTTGAAATTTCCTGTCTCCACCTTTCATAAAACCAACAGACTAGTCTCCTACCTTGATGCCTTCCTGGAAGGATATGATTTGGCCATCTCATTCCTTACATGCTTTTAATAATAGAGCTTTCTCAAAAGTGCCTATTATTTCTCCAGTGCTTTTTACAATTCATTCTGTATGGCATTATGCCATGACTTTATTCACTTATTAAATTAAAGGAGTTATTGGAAAAAGTGAACAAAATGCCCAATTCTTATGGTTCCACTCAGCTCTCTTGCATCTCCCCTTGGAGGCTATTCTTAGACATATTGTCCGTTCAGGAATCCAAGGTAAGCCAGCTTTATCTGGCAAGTCCCCAAAGATTTCTTCTTTCCATATGTCCAGACAGAAAGCTAAGCAGTAATTCAAAGACAGAAAGGGGTCAGCAATAACCATTTTCACAGCTACCAGGCAGAAACTCATTGTCAATTTCATCTTCAACACAATTTCTCAATCGTTTTAATGTTAGAGGAATCACTTGAAATGTGAGATTTATGGGTGGCTGTTCCAGCCAGGTGAGATTCTTGCTGACAGGTATCAAACTGTTATTAGAATTCTGTGTTCTAAATTAAAGGAGAAAACCTCTCTCTAAATATGTACTAGAGCCTTGCAAAGTTGTTGGAGGTGAGGTGGGCATTAGAGAACCTTAGCTGAACTTGGCAGAGACTGAATAACTTTAAGGACTCCCTTTCTAAGAATGTATTAGTCTTTCCTGGACTTGATAGCTTTGGTATAGTGCACATAAGATTTTCACTGTGACAATAAGGACCTTACATCAAAATCCAGTCCTGAAATTTGGTGGTGCTTGGAGGTTGCATGATTGGCCCCCTACCCGCCTATCCCCCATCTAAATGAGAGTTAGCACATTCAGCAGAATAGCATAGGATTTGGCCTAGAAAACCCAGATTTGAGCCTTGCCTCTGCTACCTACTAGTAATGTGATCAATCAACCTTGCTAAGCTATGGTTTCCTCACTAAAATGGGATAATAATGGTGATACCTATGTTACATAATTATTGGGAAAACAAAATAAAAATATTTTCTTCACTCTAAAGGTTTTTATCAATTTTAGTTATTAATGGTAATGGCCAATATTTATTGACCCCTTACCATGTGCCAGACAGACACTGTGTGTGAGAGGCGCTTTTATGTACAATTATCTCATTTATCTTCCCAACAACCCTATGAAACAAGTATTATAATTATATCCCTCTTACAGACGAGAAAACTGAGACTTAAAATCATGCATCTAATAACTGGTGTGACCAGGATACAAACTCTGTCTGGCTAGGCCTGTGCTCTTGACCACCACATGATATCGTCTTTAATCTCCAATTACCTGCTGGCTATTTCTTTTCAGATATCCTGCAGTTCTCTCAAATGTAACCAGTCTCAAATAAAATTCACTATCTCCTCTCAAATTACAGTCTTTCCACTCACTTTCCTATTTGTCAAAGTTACTATTTTTGTCTCTTGGGCTTAGAATCTCTGGGTCATCTACGTCTCTTCCTTGCCAGCTGAGGAGTCACCCTGGCCATTCAGTTCCATCCTCTCCACCCTTTCCTTCTAATCCCTTTTGTCACTACCATGGATGAGGCCTCACCTCCTCAAACCTGGATTGTGCAATAGCTTCCTAACTTGTTTTTCTAGCTTTAGCCCATACTGCACACTACCTGCTAATTAATCCTAAAATGTCATTGTCAACAGGTACTTCCTTGGTCAAAAACTTTCAGTTGCCTACAGGAGAAAGTCCATTCCTTTGAGCCTGTGGTTAATGGCCCCTCACAGCCTGGTCCCACCTACCACCCCCATCCCCGCTTCCAGCTGTGTCCCCTTCCAACCCTGGGCATACCCTGCGCTTTCTTGCCTCCACACTTTGGCTCATGATGTTTCTCTTTCCCTTCATGTCCTTCCTCTTCCCCCTCTCTACCTACTGAATGACAACTCTCCAAGATGCAAACCAAATTCTTCCTTGACCTCCCATTCCCAAATAATATCTCTCTTCTTCCAGATCAGTAAGACACACCAGCCTCTGTTTATTACCACACATTGCAGTTAATTTTTCACAAAGAATATGTATGTCTTATTACAACTTTTTGGTTGGAGGAGAGAAAGAAAAGAAGAGAGAAAACATGCTCTATATTTCTCCACCTCCCACAGCACCAAGTGAGTACCTCCTGTAAGCCAAGCACTGTGCTGTGTACTGGGAATGCTGAGAGGAGCAACATACACTAACGAGCTCACAGGCTAACAGTATAGATCAACATGTAGACAAACCATCACGACTGGGTATGAAACAAGCTAGAGTAAAGATATGTCTCAAGGGTTCTGGGAGTACAGAGAAGAGCACTAACAATTACCTGGAGAAATCAGGGAAGGGCTCACAAAGTGACCTTTGAGCTGACTCTTGAAGGATGAGTAGAAAATAGAAGCTGTCTAAGCAGAGAAGGTAGAGAAGGGCTTTTGAGGAACAGAGAATACCACAATCAAGGGCCCAGAGGCATGCGCTGTCTCTGTGAGGACAGGTGAGGTGAGAGAGCAAAACAAGTGGGAAAGAACAGCATGGAGAGAGGCTGGAAGAGTGGGCAGCATTCAGATTAGAACGACCTTGGTGTGCAAAGAAGATGGGAGTTGATCCCACAAGGTCGGTAGGGAGCCATGAGAAGTTTATAAGCAAGGAAGTGACATGTTTGTCAGTGACTAACTGCCCTGGGTAACTCAAAGGAGGCTTGGAAAGCACTTAACTGTTTCTCAAAGTTGTTTTTTAGTTATATTAAGAGATGCAATCACCAACTACCCCAAACTGGTCCAAACACCACCACAAGAGCGACACCTGCACAGATGGGCTGAGAAGTGTCCGAAAGTTACCTTTGCTTCATTTTAATGTTAAGATCTCCACCCCAGGAGGAGCTTAGGCCTTACTACCATAACATGTGATGTATGTGGAAGCATGTTTTCAAACTGCACCTGTGCGAGTGAATAACGACCTCTACACGTGATGACAAAACTTCCCTTTTGAATATTCATTCCCTACCAAAAATAAAAGTCACCTAGTTTCCCTTTGCTCAGGAACCCACAGCTTTGAAAGTAATTCTATATGGTTTCCTTATTTGCTGCAAATAAATTGTACTTTGCGTGACAACTACTTCTGGTGAAGGCTTTGATTTCAACTCACCAAGAAGCAAACCCGCTTTGGTTCAGTAACGTAATCAGATTTGAATTTTAGAAAATTAACTCTGGCAGCAGTACATGAATAAATTGCAATTGGAGACACCTGAGGGAGAGATGCCGAGAGATGTTTGAGGGCCTGAGCAAAGCCCAGGATAATGGCAATAGAGCCGTCTATCGATCTGATGTATGTGAAGAAGGAGAATAAATAAATGGACTTGGTAGACCATTAGATGTGGCGAGTGAGCGAGAGAATGAGGAACTGAGAATGATGACTGAGGTTTCCACCTTGAGAGACTAGTGTAGGTAGAGAAGAGGGAGGCGAAAAAGTAAGTTGTTTTGGCTATTGCTGCTGCTGTTTTCATTCTTCTTGTTTGGGTGGAGAAGGTAATGAAATAGTGGCAGAAGTTTTAAGTTAAAGGCACTTGTAGGGCATTGATAAGAAGAGGTTAAGAAAAGGTTGAGTAGCAGGTAAGGTCCCCATGTAAGACCATGCCGTTACTTTCAGTGACAAAGAGTACAACATGTATTGGTGCTTCTAGTGATAGGAGAGTACACAAAAGACACACTGAGGGTCGTCAAGTGGGTCAGAGCATGGCCTGGTTGGCACCGACACTCAGCCTTCTCGGACAGATGTCATCTGAGGGACAGCGTGAAGGAGGGAGCCTCAGACTGCAGTTCTCAACGTGACATTGATGTACAACTGCATGAACGTTGCACACGGCCTATGAGGCTTCCGCCAAAAACACTGAAAACAATGGATTTCAAGGCCAATAAATGTAGACTTCATGTGAATATTTTAAATGAGACAAGGATATTTAGTACATTGGGGGTTTTTTTACCTAAGAAATATGAAATATATCCTGACGAATTATAACCTGTTCTTTATGTATGACCCTTTTCTGATCTCTTATGCATAACATTCCCAATTAATCCCAGGAAACAGAGGGTGAAGTAGGGGGAAAGGGCGGAGGGAAGGAGAAAAGAAGTAGAAGAGAGAAACAAAAGCTCAACAGAGAGAGACTTGAGAAATGGCCTGATCCACCGAGCAGATCCAGGCCTTTCAGCTTAAATCGGCAGATCTGAGTGATGTCCTAGGACATGGAATTTTAAATATTAGTGGACGTGTTTCAGTAGCACAGCACAAGCCATTAATTTCCTTGGCATTCTCAGTAGTTCATTGCTGCTGAGCATTCCCAGTATGTTCAAGTTAGTAGAAAATTTGCAAGACAAGAACATTTTATGCCTGCATAACTCTAGTTAAAAACATATTATTGGGCAGTATTTATAAAAGGTATAGACCACTGTCACACAGGCCCAACAAATGCTATTTAAAAGATGATAATGTACTTTTCTGTCTTTAATTGCTTTTTCTGCTACTAGATTCTAACCATCGTAGCAATATCATACTCAAGGGTACACTTTGACCCATGATGTAACTGGCATTCAATGTGATTATATACATTTACCTTCCATGGTGATGCAGAAAGGAAGAAATGACACGCACTCAAAGTACAGTGGGCACTCAATAAATTGTATTGAATTGATTACAAGCACGGAATGCAGTTTATCTGGAAATACCTGTTTTGTTTCAGAATATTATAAGGCTTCTCCTCTCCCATTCTTCTCTTAAAATCAGAATCCTAAGCTGCAGATAGATGTTATCTTCGAGCAGAATTCCCTCATATTATAGATGGAAAATCTGATGAGGGATGCATAGTTAGTACTCTCTTGGTTGCAAGTGACCAGAAATCTAATACAAATTGACTTAAGCAAAAATGGGATTTATTGGCCTCTATAAATGAAATGTCCATGGGGTAAGCATAGTTTCAGATGTGGCTGGATTCAGATCTGAAGGAATGGTCCCCCTTATATGGCTGTCTGCCACCATGCACATGGTAGAAAATGGCAGCAGTAGCCCTCCGCTTCCGGCAAAGCAGAAGTGCATGCCTCAATCCCAGGAGTTCGATGGCATTTCCTTGGCTCTAGTGGGATCATGTGCACATCCTTGCAGCTAGAATGTGCCCGTGGCTTAACCTAGGTCACATATCCAACCCAGGGAACCAGTGTGGGGGCCAGCGTTTCACTCCCAGCACAGGGACAGTGTAGAGAGGAGGGGTAGCTGCCTCAATGCAGAACTGAGGTACAATGCCATAAGAAGGGAGAGTGAGTCCTGGGGCAGGGGCGACACAATAAGTGGCTTTATTACCATTTGTAGTATTTAGATTAAAATTTTTAAAAACCTTTCGAATCCCCCTAGGTAAAATCTGCCCCACTTCAAGGAGGAATCCCAAAAGAAAATAATTATGGTTTGTGGTTGAGGAAAGCTCTATGAAGCTGAAGTGTTTTCCCCAGTTGTCTCTCCCTCCACCCTTCCATTCTCCTCCAGCACCACCAGCATCAGCTGAGATCCCCAGTGTCTTCTTCAGAACAGAGTAGCAAATACTTCTTTCTGATCCCTGTGAGGATGTTAATGGAGTCTTGGCTTCCATTCACTGAATCCTAAAAATTTTGGTTTACGTTCCCACCCTCCACTTCCCCCCGCCCACAATCCTGACAATTTAGATTGATGTGTTGCCTCAACCTAAGAACACCAGTCCCTTCTGATGTTGCTTGCGCATTGTTTTTTGTTTGGGAAAGTTGCCAAGCATCGACAGTTGTTTATTTTTGACCTGATCTCGAGCCAGAACCACATGGAAGTCAGAGGATTTAGTATTATCTCTCTGCTCTGAATACATCCATTTCTTTTGATTCTCGTCATTATTTTGAGTCCTTCAGACTCTTTTAGCATTAATTCCCCGTTCACTTCCTTATCATAAATATAGATTATGCAGCCATATTCCTCAACCATGTCCTGCAGATTTTACTTGACCATTTGATCTCATCCATTTGCCAGATGAAAATCTATGTTC